ATTTGCCTAGTCTCAAGGTATTTGCCACATGATTATTAACTGTGAGAGGGGAAATAGTAGCTTTACTGTGGAGAAAACTTGCAGACACCACCTTAATCAAGTGCTCAAGGTCAGCATGAGAAAACAGACCTATAATGTAGCCCCTCAAATCGTGCATGGAGAAGGGCATGTTGCTTCTGTGTTATTCTTCCCAATGATGCGTACTCAGTCAACTCTCGAGAAAACATAGGACAAGCCCAAAATGCATGTCTTTCTACAAAATATCTGGCCACACTTCTTCAGTAGCATCCAGGTCATAGGAGACAAAGAGAGACTGAGGAATTGTCTTAGATTAGAGGCAACTAAGAAACTATGACAGTTGAATGGATCATGAGATCTGGGACTGAATCTTGGAACAGAATCCAAATGAAGTGTGCCATTTAGTTACTCCTAGTTACTACTGCTAATTAATTAATTATTATTAACTTATTACTTTCAATAGTTGTTTTATGATTATCCAAGATGTTGATGTGAAGGGAAGCAGGGGAAGGCCATCCAGTAACCACCCACTATTTTTGTTCCTTTTCTACATGCCTAAGATTATTTCATAATAAAATGTTGAAAAAAGTACATTTGCTTAGTAATGTGTACTCACTACAGTAGGGTAGCATTCAGGAATTATAAACTGTCAACTCATTCAGCTCCTTTAGCATGTCTCTCCCCAAACATATTTTTATGTTTTAGTCAAACTAAATCTGTTGTTAATTAGACCCTTTTGGACAAGAGAGAAGTAATAGAATATTTGTATGTATTCTAAAGTCTTTAAAATCAATATAGCAAGTAACTGCATACTCACACCTCATTTTAAGAAGCATAAAAAGGAGGGTGCTGGATGGTAGCACGGTGTGACACACACAGTGCTCAGCAAGGCTAATCCACAAGGCAAGGTTCACGTCCAGAGGACCTCCCTGGTTGCCCAGGCATGCTCATGACCCATACCTGAGTGACGTTAGGGGTGATTGCAGTGTGGGCACTTTGTTGGGAGTATGCTTCTCTTTCTGTCTCTCTCACTCATGGGGGAAAGAATGAACTGAAAAGTAAAGGAAATAGAACAATTCAGTCAAAGTTGTGTGCTCCCTTCCTTTGTGATACTCTTTCC